ATAGTCTCTCTTCCTTCATGTCTCTAATTCTCAGTGTTTCCCAGTCTCGGTTCAATCTGTTTACCCACGAGTGTCAGGACGAGTTTACATGCACGGCAATGTGAAACTCCATACAGGCGAAAGTTCGTGTAACTACTATCGCGCTTGTAATTGTTTAATGAAAGATTTAATTTGTTGTAGCCTTGAATATCTTACTCTTTTCGCTTGATACAGGTAACAGAACCACAAGATGAAAAAAATTAGATCCCTGCACCATGAGAAATTATAAATATATATACGAGGAGTCAGTTATAATGTGATTTTAAATATGTAGAAATATGATTTATTAAAAAAAATATTATTAATTGATATTAATTTTTTAATAAAATGTTTTTAATTCATTTGATTAGAAAAAATGGATGAGTTATTAATTATTTAATAATACTTTACGTTTACTCAGTAATACTTTTTATATTATTATTAAAAGGAACTTACAAGCTAGTTTCGATTAATTTAGTATTGTTACCGGTCGTTTATCAGATATTAAATATTAAATAATTTCAAGTGTATTTAGAAAACTTTTAAATTTGTATGTTACGAGTAACTCTCAAGATCGTTTTAATTAGTTTATTATTAATAATAGATGATTTTTGTATTTGGAAGTAATTATAGTGCGAGGGATTTAATGGAACGGCAATACGAAGCTGCAAATCCACGCGCTCAAGTAACTGCTGTCACGTAAGATGAACGTTCAACCAACACATTTTGAATGAATATCTTGATCTTCTCTCTTCATTAATATTTCTATCACAGTATATGTGTCATTCACAGTCCAATTTGACTCACCTGTAATTTTCCGCACGAGCCTACATGCGTGGCAATGTAAAACTCCAATCTCACTTGAAAGCTCAAGACACTGCTATCACACATTCTTATGCAACAAACGGATTCTTCCTTGTAGCGTTGAATATCTTAATCGATTCTTTTCCTTCATGTCTCTAATCCTCAGTGTTTACCAGTCTCTGTTAAATCTGCCTACCCACGGATACTCAGTACGAGCTTGCATGCACGGCAATGTGAAACTCCAATCTCACTGGAAAGCTCAAGAAACTGCTATCACACACGAGATTCTTATGCAACAAACGGATTCTTTCTTTGTAGCCTTGAATATCTCAATCGTCTCTCTTCTTCGATGTCGCTAATTCCCTGTTTTTCTCAATTTTTGTCCACTCTGACTCACCTGCGATTTTCCTCACGAGCTCACACGCACTGTAATGTGATACTTCAAAAGTCTGCTGAAAGCTCGCCTAACTGCTATTACGCAAGATTCTTCTTATTAATCGGATTCTTTCCTTGATGCCTTGAATATCTGAATCGTCTCTCTTCCTCGATATCTACAACTCCTACTTTTTTTCCAGTCTCTGTTAAAACTGCTTACTCACGGACTCTCAGTACGAGCTTACATGCACTGCAATGACAAACTCCAATCTCACTTGGAAGCTCGATAAACTGCTACCAGGCAAGATACTTATGCAACAAACGGATTTTTTCTTTGTAGCCTTGAATATCTTAATCGTCTCTCTTCCTTCATGTCTCTCATTCTCAGTGTCTCCCAGTCTCTGTCTAATCTGCTTACCCACGGACTCTCAGTACGAGCTTACATGCACGGCAATGTGAAACTCCAATCTCACTTGAAAGCTCAAGAAACCACTATCACACACATGATTCTTATGCAACAAACGGATTCTTCCTTGTAGCGTTGAATATCTTAATCGATTCTTTTCCTTCATGTCTCTAATCCTCAGTGTTTACCAGTCTCTGTTAAATCTCCCTACCCACGGATACTCAGTACGAGCTTACATGCACGGCAATGTGAAACTCCAATCTCACTGGAAAGCTCAAGAAACTGCTATCACAGACAAGATTCTTATGCAACAAACGGATTCTTTCTTTGTAGCCTTGAATATTTCAATCGTCTCTCTTCTTCGATGTCGCTAATTCCCTGTTTTTCTCAATTTTTGTCCACTCTGACTCACCTGCGATTTTCCGCACGAGCTCACACGCACTGCAATGTGATACTTCAAAAGTCTGCTGAATGTTCGCCTAAGTGCAATCACGTAAGATTCTTCTTATCAATCGAATTCTTTCTTTGAAGCCTTGAATATCTTAATCTTTTCTCTACTTCGATGTCTCTAGTGCACTGTCATTCCCAATCTCCGTCTAATTTGACTCACCTGCAATTTTTCGAACAAGCTTACACGCACAGCAATATAAACTTGGCGTACTATAAGAAACTTATTTCTTTCATAGTATAATGTGCAGTTATATTTTCTTCTTCTGTTTACTTCTTGCTGGAAAATCTTTGCTTACAGGTGCATATGACCTTTTATTAGCTTGCTTATTTAATCTGCTCATTATTCCATTGCAATCTTTATCACTAACTTCTTCTGTAGTCATTTGTCGCGCTACTTCCATTTTTTTAATTTCTATTTGTTCTATTCGATGACAGAACGGGCATATAATTTTATAATCCGATTTTTCAGGAATAAATTTACAATTTGGTGAGTGCATAGGTCTGTTACAAACCATGCAGTACTCTTTTAGCCTCATTGTTCTTTTACTAATGCAATTCGTACAAGTTTCCTTCATATTATCTGCTTTTTCTATCAGAATTTTGGCTACTGTATTTCTGTATTCCATTGGTTCAAAGTTCATATCAAATTGTTCTTCTTTCCCCATGCAATCCATTAAATACATAAGGAATACGCCACAATTGAAAGAATCCGTTTGTAATACTCTAGGCACCGTTGATCTCTCATACTTCCAATTAATAGATTTTAAATTAGTTTCCGACTCATTCAAGGGATTTTTTAAATATTTCTTAAAATTTATCTCACAAACTTTAGAACGGCTGTGTTTCCCTCCAATCTCCATGAAGTAAGGATCTATATGTGTAAGTGTTCCTTTATCAACATTTACAATAAATAAACACCAATGAGCCGCACTACAATAAGGCATAAGTATCTTTCCTTTGAAATTGTATTTCAAATGAAACATAAACCAATTACCACCGGGAATGAGAAAAGACTCTGTAACGGGATCTAAATTATTAAGAATTAAACGCGTTTGATCAGTGGGAATGAAAATTGTATTTGGCCATACTTTTTCACATACAGTTCCGTATGCGTTTATAACTGAGCCTTCAATGTAGAGATCGACTGCATTTTCGGCACTTTGGCGCAATGATCTAAATTCTTCCGTAAATAATGGGAAAGAAAAGTTATCGGGGTAGATACTTGGCTCTTGAATCAATCCGGTGTTTTTATTTACAAATATCCTATGCTCTCTGATTGGATGAAGACTATTTCTCTTGTATTTTCCTACAACTGCCTGTCCTTCGTATTCTATATAATAATTATAATCAGCTATTAATCCATTCGCTAATATTTGTTTTCGCAGTTGTAGTATCCAATCTTGAACCTCAGAGCATTTGGATTTTTCTATTGATGCAGATTCTTCAACATTTGCATGATCGATTTCTCTATCAATTTCTAGTTCCTTCTCGTCATATTTTTCTTCCTCTCCGTCTTTTGTCTGGCTAGTCAAGTAAATTTCTTCGTCTTTTAATGTTTCTACATATTCCGGTGAAGATTTAATTTCTGGGTGTATGTGGTAAACATTATTATTTTCTGAAATATACGAGTCATTGCTTATTTCCTTACACAGTACAATATCTTCATCCGCTTTATTTGAAGCTAAATACAATTCATCCGGTATTTCTACATTAGCAGCTACAGAACATACACTTATTTGATCAGAACTAATCTCTTCATTACCGCAATAATCATCGCAACGTTCACGTAACTGACTTGATTCGGAGAAATCTTCCTGTGTTGAAACCTCTTCACAATTGTACTTTTTATCACTCAACACACAAATTTTTGCTTCATCAACTACGTGTATACTTCGTGGTTTCGTCTTTCTGTGATCGTCGTCAAAAGAAACTTCTTTGTATTTTTTCTTAAAGCTTTCTTCTGCCTCTCTACATTCCACTAATTGCTCTTCCGTAACTGTCAAAACATTTTGAAATTTGAAGTTCTCTACGTCGAAATCTTTCTTCTTTGCTGCTGTACTTTTATCTCTTAACATTCCTTTCTTCATTTTGGCAAGCATATTGTCATTTACTTTAAAATTGAAGATTCCTCCGTAATCTTTTACATATTGGCAAGTATATAAAACATCACGAATAGTATCGACGTTCAAGCAACTGCGTTGTTTATTTTGAATCAACGACTTTTTTCTAAAAAGTCGTTCTGACGATGCATTTGATCTCGGTATACTCAAAACTGAAAGAGCATACTGAGATAAATGTCGAAATAAATAATTCTCATTCTCGCAATAATGCAAAAGCAGAAACCAAAATGAATCTTGGAATTGATCTGATTTAGCATTTTCTAATTTATCTATTATTCGTTCATCAAAGTTATGATTAACTAAAAGGGTCCATTCACTATTAATTAATTCTCTATCACCTTGAATTCGTGGATAAGCATCAAAGACTTTTATCAAGCTGGGATATTCGTGATGAAATGCATGGCTCAAAGCATTTTCAGGATGAAAATAAAAAGTATCATCGTTCAACGGACATCTATCGTGTATTTGAGAGCAGCATTTTATTAAAAATTGACGACAAGCTGTGCGAAAATCTTCTTCAAAAGATTCTTTAGTATCATAATGCTCTTGGATACATTCTGATGTTAACTTGTCAATATGATTAGCAGTCTCTTTACCTATATAAATATTTGATAAATCTAAAAATTTGGACTCCTCTTGCGGATTTATCTCATTTATATCGGTATTTTCGATATAATCGTTGTCCATATACATTTTTAAAAGGTCAATGTATAAATTTCTCATTCTGGTATTCAATTTTGGAACATCTGGGGTTTCACGCTGTAGATATTTATTTATTACAGAAAATCGAGATAAAACTGATTCTAAGAAATAATGGTAACAATGCATCAAAGGGTCTCGCAAATCTTCAAGAATCGTGCTTGCAGATATTTTCTCATTTCCATCAGTTCCCCTTTTTTTTCATTCTTTGAAACTTGGCTCTCAAAAAATAAAACCAATTGCGGCCATCTACGCAACAAACGCAGTATTGCTTGATACAAAGAAAGCCAGCGTATACTACAAGGACGAACAATTTGCAAATTGTTGAATCCTAATTCATTTTGCAAAGAAGACCAAATAAACGATCGCAAAGAGCTGTTACCGATATAATTATGAATAGAACTGCTTAATCTTCGTATTTCTTCAGGGAAAACTTCCATAACTCGAGAAGTTATTAAACTTTCGACATGACACTGACATTTTACTACTGAGCAATTTATAAAAGTTTTTCTAATTATAGCTTGTACGCCACCTTCTTGTCCCATCATAAGATTACATGTATCAGAACAAAAACTGATGACATGATCTCGCTGTTTCATATTGAAACTCGCAATAACTCCATTAGCCAAGTGTTTAGCAGTACCTCGGCAATCTGGACTGCCTTCATGAACTGGAATCAGATCCCATACTACATCTTGTACTATTTGCAACTCAGGATCAGCATAGCGTACTAATATACAAAGAAAAGACTGTTCATTTATGTCTGTTGATTCATCAATCATAACTGAAAAGTCTGTCTCTTCTAATATCCTACCCAATCGTTCCTTATATTCCGGAGCAATAAGTTTCTTCATAATTGCAGGAATAGTTTTTCTATCCAAACACATTTTGTTAAAAGTATCCGTGTTAAGCGATGTTTGCTTCAAAAACTTAATCAATTTCTCTCCGAATATAAACGAAAGATCACTATCGGCTACTAACGCTGTTATCTGAAGTTGTAAAGTTGCCACTTCTGGATCAAATAGTACTGTTTCCGGAAGTTTATTGGTGTTAACCTGGTGTTTTAGCGTTTTAAAATGTCTTTCTATGACTTGCGAAGTATCGAATAGAGAGCTTTCGCAAGCTTTACACCACACCTGACCGTTCATTTGATTTTCTTTTGTGATGTATTGTTCCTTTTCTTTTCTAAAATTTCCAAGTAATTGATTAATGCCGGCTTTCATCGCCTCTTGCATTTTCATTATCTTGGACAATTCTTCATCATCATTATCTCCAGACGGGACTTCAGCATCAACAATCTTATCAGTTGAATCCACATTATTCTTCTTTGAGTTTACACATTGCTCGGTTGTTCCATTGTTTACTATTTTATTATTTAATTTTACCTTTTCGGTATTTTTCTTATGCAAGCTAGATTCCGCGTGTCTTTTTAAATTAAAAGGTTTTTGTATCAAAATCACCGAGCAGAAAGAACATTCGCCATAGAGGGACAATTTTGTACTATTATTATTTAAAGTTTTAAGGTTTTTAATGTTAGCTATGGACTTGTACCTGTACCACGGATAAAGCGCAGCAAAAGATTGTTTCTTTTCAGTTAACATTTTGTTAAAATCTACTGTAATTTACATAAAAGAATCGAAAAAATATATATGTAATATATCTTAAAACTACCACCAACAAAAAGAAGAATTTAGTTCAATCCCTAAAATAATAAATAATAAAATATAGCCAAATTCCATCACCAAACAAAATAACAAAGATTAGAGAAAATAGTATCAAAAGTCAAATAAAATGTCCATTATTCAACATTCATCTTAAGTAAATGGTGTTTTAATAAAAATAACATTTTTTCAAAATAGAATATCAACATCAATATAGTACTAACAAATGTGAACCATCAATCTGGTTGAACATAATAAAACCGTTTAATTTTCGTTTAAACGTTATTTTTCAAGGGTTCATCTAACAAAAAATGTATATGTAATGAAACATTTTTTGCCACGATATATATATATATACATATATATGCAAAATAACTCTGCTCCACAGAATCGCTCCAAATAAGAATAACGTATACAAGGTTCAATAATCTAACTATGCCTTCCACCGAAAAGTTCTATAGTTTAAATAATGTAATCACGAATGTTGATTGCTACATTATTTAATTTTTAATGTATTATACAGATTTAAATATATAGATCTAACGAAACTAAGTTTCCATAATATCAATAATTTATTATAAATTTAGTTCTTCGGTTACTAACTGATAAAATAATTTTGTACTGTTATCGTAGGAACATCTGAAGGAAAATGTTAAGATCCAAATTTGTTTTTATTAAAATGAATGTCATTTTCCATGGCAATGAGACAGCTTTTTTAACTTGGAGCGTCGCAATTTTCTCGAACGCTGTCTCATTTGTATTTAGTTTTAGTTGAATAGGTGATATTACCATCTGTTCTTTTAGAAATAAAGGTTTTTTTCTTAATTTGTGTAATTGTCATACGCAAGGGGAAATTTATTCATTCCAAGTGAGCAAAGATAAATTGAATTCAATAAGACGAGAAAAAAAGCTAACTATTAAAACACCATTTACATTATTGGCTTAATTTTTTAAAATTACTCACCACTGTTAGTTTACCTTAAAGTTGAATAAAAATATAAAAGTCTTAAAGAAGCCTTTATGAACGATAGATCGTTTGCAACCTGAAAAATGCATTGATAATATTTTAATATTTACCAATTAATTACGTATTCGTAAAACGCTTGAAAAAAAATTTATAAATGAATCTTTCTTTGACTCTGCATTAATTGTATATATAATTATAAATATTATTAAAGAAATGTTTATTACTTACGTGTATTGCAATGTATGTATAACTTTTTAAATAAAATCCACACCTATCAAAAAATGGATTTACACAATAATATCAATAATGTCAATTTCTGAAATTAATACAATTTTTATGCACAATAAACACTCTTTATAACCGTTAAAAAAATAACTGATACTAATAGAAGCACGATGTTGCTCTCTAGCCGGCACAAAAGAAACAAATTCGCTCGTTCGATCGTCATTCGGCGGGAAGGCTCGGGTAGTTTTGTTTACATTGTGAATTGCGGAAGTCGTGTATATCATAATAGAATGGGAGTCTGGTATTTAAATAATTTTTATAATTTCATTTCAATATTTAATGACAAATTAAATAATACTCTGTAAATGCTAGAGAATAATTCATTTTTAATAATTATAAAATCAGAAAAGAGTGAAAACAAGGTTACTAAAAAATAACTTTTTATAATTAATTACAGTTTTTATTATTTATTATTTATTACTCTTCAACAATTTTACAATACATTGTATATATAAATAAAATTTTTTTACATGCTAATATGCGAAAAGTATTTTCTTTTAGAATTTATAATTCAGTGGAACCTTGGAACGGACGGAATCGGAAAGAGCTCTTTCAGTGTACAAACTGAAGTCAGCTCTAGGGAGCTCTTTTTTTCGATATAAACCATCGATGCCCAGCCCTGGGCAGCAGCATAGTTTTCGCGAGCGTGCCAGCATTAGAGACTACTGTGTGTGCGATTTTCTGGGTGTGAACCAGAGTGAGGAGTGCGTGCACTGCTAAAAGTGTGCGGCTTCGCAAACTATTGGAGCAACTCCGTCAGCCTCAGCAATCCCAGCAGCTCCGCGACACCAAGCAGCGAGGAGACAGTTGCAGTGCAGCGAGCAGCGCAGCGGTTAATCCGCAGCAAGTGCGTCGGATACGGTTGGCCACCGCATCCCCATTATTTAGGCGGTAGGTGCACAGCACAATATTATTCGTTATTATTGTTGTTAGCGTGCGATCCCGCGCAGCGTGCGCGGTGAAGTTATCGAAAGCGTGCGAGCGTTTAGACCGTGTCGATCGCGAGTTTCTCTCTCTCTCTCCCCGTGTATATTATCACCTGAATTAGCGTGCGTGAGTCTCTCGGCAAATCCCCTGTGTATTTGGTTAATTTGAATAAAGCAATCAATAGTTGTTCTTAACCGAGATATTGTTTTGTCTTTCCTTTGTCCGGAGTGCATGTTTGTTGACATTCGATTCGAATAAGCCGGTAGCATAGCACGGATCGCGCGGATACCGATAGAAGCGAATTGCAAACCGAGTTTCCAGCAGCGGCCGTAGGAGCGCTGCTAAGCAAGAGCGGCAGCGCCGCCAAGTGGCGAGTTGGGGAACCTAACTCGGATTGGCGAGGGAACTCTGCGCAGGCGCACTCCCGGACAAGGTAGGTTAACGTGCTTACGGCACGTAGCTAACAAGGCGTCGTTTGACCGAAGTAATACAATTAATAGGTCACAGGTTAAACGGCCGCCTGTTACAATTTTTATATAATTATTTGATATAATTTAAAATTAAATTGTTATAATTATTTAGGATTAATTGAAAATAATGAAATATAAAGAACTAAAAGCTATTGAAACTATAAGAAGATATGACAGAATAGCTGAACTTATACTACTCTATTTAGAAAAAGATTAGTACTATTAATACCTCTATGTATACAATTAGTTTTAACAGCAAAACGCATCACTATATAGCCAGGATAATATGGAGAGACTTTATTAACTGCATCGTTTAATCTAATTAATCCAGTATTCAAAAACAACTGCACCAATCATTTATTGTCTATTATATAAGCAATATGCATGCGAGTAAGATCTTGCTTGTTTTTAATATTGGTGTATTCATAGCATTCATATTGAATATCATGTTCAACAGAAACATCAATCAGAAACAACAATCAATTGAACAGAATTCTTATTCAGTCATATAATGTCATGTTGATATATGACATTCAATATGAATCCTATGAATACACAAATATTATAAACAAGCAAGATCTTACTCGCATGCATATTGCTTGTTCAATGGACAATGAAAGATTGGTACAGTTGTTCTTGAATACTAGATCACCAATTACAAACGATGCAGTGAATATAAAAACTCGCTATATTATCTAGGCTATAGGGATTCATTTTGCTGTTTAAACCAATTGTATATACAGAAGTGCATAAACTGCATCTAAATATAATATGACATAAATTAATTTTTCTTTTAGTGTCAATATTTTGTTGAATCAAGATTGCTATAATATAATTTACGTGGAGCACTTATTATCCACAACAGTTTCAAAGATGAATATTTAGAAAAATTTATCAAAATATAGCAAGTATTTATATGAATTATCTTAAATATCTGAATAAATTCATAACAATTCATTAACATAACATAATTATAACATAACATCCATTTACTAGACAAATTATTATAACTATTTTTCGACAAAATTCTTAAAGTAATCTGGGTGCTTGATTTTGTACTACACAAACTATTATTCCTTATAAGTAGGAGGGTATTTTTTCAAGGTATAATAGCTCATTTTTAAGCTTATAAAAGTAGCTTTCAACTGAATTATCACTCGTTATATTTGGTAATGTCAAATCCGAGATATAATTTTTCAAGTGTCATTTAAATATTCCCTATATATACTATAATATAAGTTATATTTAATTATATCCTATGTATACATATAATATGATACTACTCGGAAAAGGTGTTTTTACAAAATGTCTTTTTACAAGATATATTTTTACAAAAAGTCTTGTTTTTTTATGTTATATGCTTCATTTTTTTGGTTTTGTTGATAGACCTTTATAAAGCTTCGATAAACTATTTGGATTCTGTTCTTCTTGTTAACCACGATGCTCCGGAAGCCGATTTAAATGAGACAAAAATGAAGAGAAAATCTGTCTGGACAGAACGATTGTATCTATAAAAACGAATCGAAATCAGCTTGTCTTACCTCTAGGTTTGTCCTTTAATAAGTTTTGGACCATTTTTAAAATTTTAATTTACAAAAATTTAAAATTTCGGACTGAAAATTCATCTGAGCTATAATCAGCTCTGAATAATATTAATATATCTTTTGTGATATGCAAAAATATGTACCCCTTACATACACTCGTCCGTATATACATGTATATATAAATAGAAGTATAATTATTCGCATCTATACATATACATATGTGTCTAATATAACACTTGATTCGTCTAACGTTGTTTTGTTTACTTTCTTCGCTTTTAGTTAGATGTAATCAATTGTCATCACAGCAGTTCATGCTTATACCTATAATATTTCATACCAACATCATTCAAAGCAGCTTATATTTTCAGTTACGAAATTGATTCACCGCTTATACACATGCTTGAGTTATGATTTATCTTGTATCTGTGTTATTCAAATAGTTCAAAAAATATTGTAGGTGATAATTACAATTTTGCGAAGTATAGTTTTAATATGAAAAGTGTTAATAGTGTAACTAGTCATGAACTAAATAGAAAAAAAGTCTGTGCGCCATGCGGAAGAAAGATAACGTTTGGTTTGTCAAAAGTGGAAAAGTTTCAAATAACTCAAAAGCAATGTGCTTTAGTAAAAGAATTTGTAAACAAAAATTATTCTTTGCATGATGAACGATTTCCCGTTGGAATATGTGGCACGTGTCAAAAAACACTATATGAACATGCAAAAAAAAAGAAAGAAAGAATTCTACCA